CGTACAAGATGCACTGCAGAAATTCACCAAGGCCCCTTAGACAGCACATTCCAACTCCATGACCACTTCTATCTAAAAGGGCAAGGGCAGCAGATACATGGGAACACCACAACCTGCAAGTTTTCTTCCAAACCACTAACCACCCTGACTTGGAAATATATCACTGTCCTTCAGTGTCACTGTGTCAAAATCTTGGAATTCCCTCAATAGCAGCATTTTGGGTCCATATACACAAAATGGACTGCAGCGGTTCAAGATGCAGCTCACCACCACCTTCTCAAGGACAACTAGGGATGGGCAGTAAATGCTGGCCCAGCCAGCAATACCCACATCTCATGACTGAATTTTTAAAACGTGGCCTGTTAATGGTCAGAGGTCAGGCTCACCATTTGGTAAAAGTTGGTTGGTGGGCTGCCAAGACTAAATAGCCAATCAGAGGCTTCCACCTCGAAAGAAGGAGCAGGCTGCAATAAAAGGTAAGTAAGAGAGAGGGGGCTGCAAAATGGAGGCACTCCATCTCCATCATCTTTCAACCTCAATTGAAGAATAGCTTTTGCAGACTGGCCATGAAGGAGGTGGAAGGGGTGGGGGCTGGGAGGAGATTAGAGAGAAGCCCCCCCCCCCACGCCCCAGACGAACAGCAGTTGTTGCTGGGCCCAGGTCAGGAGCCCCCTTTGAAGAATTAACCCAGCCATGGCAGCCTAAGGGTACCTGGAGGGTGACTGGACAATCCCAACCAGCCCTCGGTGGGCCTTAGGTGACCTTTAGCGAGTTGTGTCAGTAACCCACTGCCTTTGGGGACATCTGCACGTCCGCCCCCTCCTGCCCACCCACCGCATGCCACCCCTACCCCACCTCTGCAAAACTCATGCAGTACGGGGGGTGATAGTTCCACAGAATTTTCCCTGCCTCCTCTCCCACATCAACTGCAGGCCTACCGAGGCTGAGAAACCAAGCAATTTATTAGCATTTATTAATAATATCATTATTGCTGCTGAGGTTTTATGTTATCATTTGTGAAATATTTTTGAACAGAAAATGCATCAAGCCATTATGATCAGCATAGTGACTCAGTGGTTAGCACTACAGTCTTAACAGAGCCAGGGTGACTGTCTGTGTGGAGTTTGCACATTCTCCCCGTGTATATGCGAGTCTCCTCCGGGTGCTCCAGTTTCCTCCCACAGTCCAAAGATGTGCAGCTTAGGTGGATTGGCCATGCTAAATTGTCCAGGGATGTGCAGGCTAGGTGGGTTAGCCATGTGAAATGCAGATTTACAGGGATAGGGTTGAGGGGAGTGGGATGCTCTTCAGAGAGTTAGTGCAGAGTTGATGGGCAGAACAGCTTCTACCTGCACTGCAGGGAATGTATGGTTCTATGTGTGTCTAACTTCACCTTAAAAATGTATATCCTCTTTGCTTCCTCTGGTGGAATATTCCACATTCTCTCTCTGTTTGGGTAAAAATGTTTTGTCGTGAATTCCCTGTTGGATTTCTCATTGGCTGCCTCACACCGATGACCTGCAATTATCCTCTTCCCCGTGAAAGGAGACATCTGTCTGGGGTCCATTCAGTCGAGAACTTTGTGACTTTCTGAAGACATCTACTGAGTAGGCGAGGTGACTTGATCCTGTAGGAACCAACACAGACAGGATGGGCTGTATGGCCTCCTTCTGTGTTCTACCTACTCTGCAATGCTACAGATCACTCCTCAGCCTTCATTTTGCAAGAGAAAATAGGCCCAGTCTGTTATAAGCAGAGTGTCTCCATTTGAATTCCAGACTGCTCATCCTCCAGGGGCAGTGATCAATCAACCTTATTTCCCTTCACTGCTTTTGACACTTCGATAGTCCTAATATCTACTATTTGCCGTTCCTTTATAACTCCTCCTGTGGTGCCTCTGCTTTCAACACAGAGATGGGGACTTTTTAATAATCTCCATTGTTCTTTCATTCTCAGTTGTAAGATTAGTATACTTGCTACACCGTTGTCCCACACCTTTCTGAACTGTCCCCAGTGCCTCTCCCTCTCTCTCTGTCTGTCAGAATGCAGGCTGGTCTCAGGCACAGGTGACAGTGCAGGCTGGGTCCATCCCTGAACACTGGGTGAACCGATGGCCACAATGTTGGCACGTTACATGAGCTGGAAAGATCACGTGGTTTCATATAGTCAAACTCCGACTGACAACAGTTCCTCTGTGGACTGTCACTTAGTTGAGAATGGATTGTCTGTGCTGAGGGAAAGCCTCTTACCACAGAGTTCAGTATGAGGCAGTCACTGAGAAAGAGAGGAGTGATGGCCTAGTGGGATTAGCACTGGATTGTTAATCTAGAGGCTGAGGTAATTCTCTGGGACGTGAGTTCAAATCCTGCCACAGCAAACAGAGATTGTTAAATCCACTAAAAATCTAGGATCAAGAGCCTAACTAGGAGATGACCATGAGTCTATTGTTGGACAAACCCATCTGGTTCACTAATGCCCTTTAAGGAAGGAAAATCTGCCATCCTTCCATCCTTGCTTGGTCTGGCCTACATGTGATTCCACACCCACAACAATGTGGTTGACTCTCAATTGCCTTCTGGGCAATAAATGCTGGCCTGGCCAGTGATGCCCACACCTTGTGAATACAAAATACATACAATCAAACCTAACAAGGATTTCAGGATAAAACATCGTCACCCAAAGACAGAGAGAATTTGGAACTTGCCACCAGGCTGAAGCAAAAAGAATGGGAGTATTTTTAAGGGGAGATTAGATACGCATACGAGTGAAAAGGGAATAGAGGGTTATGATGATAAATCTACTCGTTTAAAAGGAGAAGGAACAAGCAACTGACAAAACGGATAATGAGTAATGACTGAATCATAACGGCACTTCTGCAAACATCAACTGCTCTTACCTGAAGGATTCAAGAGTATGAATTAACAAACTGTGGAGAGTCGGGATTTGTGTTCAAATAAACATTAAATGAACGGGACTGGGCAGTGATCACAAAGATTGACAATCTCTGAACCTTTGCACTACAGGAAAGGTGGAGCCAGGGAATCGGTTTCAGTTTGCACTGACTTATCATTGACACAGGCAGGAAGTAATGTAAAAGCCTGTCTCCATTACTCTGAGATTAAATCAGAGAGTTAACATTCCTGACTGCGGTAGAACACAGCAATCTTCTGGGGTCTTCTGAGGGTGGCTCAGTGGTTAGTACTGCTGCCTCACAGTGCCGGAGACCTGGGTTCGATTCCAGCCTCAGGCAACTGTCTGTGTGAAATCTACACATTATTTCTCTCTCTCTCTCTCTCTCTGTCTCTGTCTCTGTGTCTGTGGGGGTTTCCTCCCACAGTCCAAAGATGTGCAGGTTAGGGTAAATTGCCCATAGTGTCCGAGGATGTGCAGGTCAAGTGGGTTAGCCATGGAAAATGCAGGCTTACAGGGATAGGGTGGGATGCTCTTCAGAGGGCCAGTGTGGACTCAATTGTCTGAATGGACTGCCCTTTAGGGATTCTATGATTGATTCTGCTGCAACCACACCAGCACCACCCACCTCCAGCTGAAGGTGCATCGCTACAAGCCAGTAAGATCCCAAAGCTGCTGTTCCTGTACATGCTGGGTTGTCCTGACCCATCTTCCAAATCCAAGGCAACAGAAAGGGAGGAAAGAGAATTATCCAGCATTTGTAAACAAGAATCAGAGACAGTCACAGAAAAGATGGATGCTGGCTGTAGGTAAACAAGTGGAGCTCAGCGGTGATGCCCCTAGTTGTCAAATAGTTGTCTGCCCACTCAGCATCCATGCTTCCCCTCCCTGAAGATTGGCAACGTGGCTGAAATTCTGTCAGTGAATTATTGCCACAGCAGGAGCGAGCCCCGGTCTTTAACAGGAGACAAAGGAGAGGGGAGGTGAAGAGAAAGGAGTGTGAGATATTGTGTAATTACAAAGCTTCCCCTTTTAGATTGTCTGGTACAGCAGAGCAAGGTCTGAATTATACACACCCACCTTCAGAGCCTGACACTTCTTTCTAGTGTCATTAACACGAGGGAGGGCAGAAGCTTAATTACAGTCTGAAAGATTTAAGCATTAATGGTATGCAGCATCAAATATTGATCGGTTAAAAAGAAAATTAAGTGTAGTATCATCTGGATCCTTTATCGTGGCAATTAACTCGACAGACAGAATGGCAGCTAAGCCGTGACATTCCTTGATTCAAGCCCTGGTTTTGGTTGAGCCAAGTGGCTTCAGCAGGGGCAACAGTGAGACTGCATTTAGTGCTAGGTTAAGGAGGGTATGTGTTGATGCATGCACATGCACACACTGGGTCTGTGTGGTAGATAGACGTAAGTATGCTGTGTGTAAGTGTGTGTATTGGATATCTGTGTGTTGGGTGTGCATGCTGGGAGTGTGTCAGTGTATGAGTGTGCATTGAGCATGACTGTGGTTTGGTCAGTGTATGTACATTGTATGTGTCAGAGGTGAGTGTGTGTCGGGCGTCAGTGTGTGTTGGATGTGAGTATGTGTGTGTGTTGGGTGTGAATATGTTCTGGGTGTGTGTGTGTGTGTGCTGAGTGTATGTTCTGGATGTGCGTGTTCTGGGTGTGTGTCTGTTGGGTGTGAGTGTGTTCTGGGTGTGTTTGTTGGGTTTGAGTGCTTAATTGCATGTAGGTATTGGGCATTAACCTGCAATTCACTTGTGTTTATTTCACAGCAGCAGACTGAAACTGCAGTTGTGAGTTGAGGATGTGCATGTGGGTGATGTACAGCTCCACAAATAAAAATGTGCAGATTGTCTCCTGTTGCATCCTTTACTAACTGTCTTTCTGGGTTATAGCCCTAGATCAGTGCAAAACTAATCCCATGGCTGTGCAGTCTTCCTTCCTACAGTCCTGTATCCAGCTCATTCTTTCTGGCAAAGTGGGTGATAGCAGCACTTCTTCTTAGACATGTCTTATTTTATTCTCTCAGAAGTCCTGATGAAAGCTCATTGAACTGAAACGCTGTTTTTTTCTCTCTCTCTCTCTCCACATTGGTTGCCAGACCTGCTGAGTACTCCCAGTACTTTCTGTTTTCATTTCAGATTTCTAGCAGCATCTTGCTTTTGTGTGTGGCACTCCGCACTCAGAACCGGGTCCCTTGGAAACGACAGTAAACAGTTTAAACAAATTAAAAAGCCCTTTCAAACGCAATCTAGATTTCAGAGTCCAGCCATTCTCTGGCAACCTTAGCAACCAGCGTTAAAGGTGAGGTCAGTGTCTCCTGTCTAACTGCATACCGCGTGTCCTTGACTGCTAATACTGCAGCACCGTTTCTGTAGATCCATTCAAACAAGACATGGTTATGATCAGAAACTCAAACCTGTTACATCGCTCAGAACTCACGGCAAAGCCAACCCCCAACCTTCAGTTATTCCCGATTTGCAGTCTCCACGATCATGATTCAACAAAATACCGAAGGCAACTGAAGTCTAGCAATCTAGCATAGCAAATTCTCAAATGCAAGTTCCCTGCATCGCCCAACGCGTTAAAATAAAAACGCAACTTGTAAGCACGAGTGCATTCTGCAGTCATGAGAAGATGGTGTGACAGACACACAGATTTCCTGTCCTCGGTGCTTGCAGACTGCGGGACGCTACATATCATCGCTGCCGCAACGAACGGATGAAAAGAAAAAGCAAGCGAGATTTGCAGAGTCTACCTTGCAATTTCTGCATCACGTTGGCGATATCCAGGGGGGATCTTCCATACTGTATCCCTGTCGCCATCCTGACACTCTCTCTCTGTAGTTGTTGTTCTGGCTCAGCTCCGAGCCAGCAGTGTTGAAGCTGAGTCACTCACTGCTGCCTTGACACCCAATGAGAGCCCTGCTTCCTGCAACAGCCTGAACTTCGTCTCTGCAGGAGGTTCGCTTTCCAGATGACCCCAAGCTCTCTGAAAGCAAACGGCGAGTATTTACGTAAATCCTCGCCTTCTTTGAGAGAGTTAAGTCCACACTGGCCGATTATCCGCTCTGACAGATCAGCAGCAAGGACATTTCCTTCCACCCTCATATACACACACACACACACACACACAAAACGTAGGGCTCTGCACTGAGCAAGGCAGCAACAAACACAACAGGTATCAGATCACCAGGCGCAGTGGGGGAAAAGACCACTGCCTGAGGTCTTCCTTGCTGGAGTAAATTCATAGAATCCCCGCAGTATGGGAGCAGGCCATTCGGCCCATCGAGTCCACACCGACCCTCCGAAGAGCATCCCACCCAGACCCACTCCCCGACCCTATCCCTGCAACCCTGCATTTCCCATCCCTGGACACCATGGGCAACTTTTGCATGGTCAGTCCGCCCTAACCTGCGCGTCTTTAGACTGTGGGAGGAAACCGGAGAACCCAGAGGCCCAGGCAGAATGTGCAAACTCCACACAGTCACCCAGGGCTGGAATTAAACTCGAGTCCCTGGCACCGTGAGGCACCACTGAGCCACCATGCCACCCTGACAATACCCAAAATAATGCCAGACTGGAAGACCATGGAATTAGGGGGTAAGTGGCAGTACAAGTACAGAATTGGCTCAGTGATTGGAAGCAGAGGCTGGTTCAGTTATCAGACCCTCCCAGTGACCCAATGCATGGAAATGTGTGTGTTAAGAGATGCCCTTGGATAGAGTCAAACTCAAATGTTTGTTTGTTTACTCGATATGCTATTGTACAGAGCCAAACTGCATTTGTGACTGTATATATACAAAGAGATTTTTAATGAATGAAGTATATTTTTGAAATAAAAAAGGTATCAGATCTCTGAGCCAGGAGTAGTGTGGTTCAAGTTAGAGATGGGTTTAGTTTGTTTGGATAGAGACAAACTCCAATGTTTGTTTCCTCAATATCGTAGAATCCCTACAGTGTGGAAGCAGGCCATTCAGCCCATTGAGTCTATACTGTCTCTCTGACGAGCATTCCATCCTTCACCCTGTCCCTGTAACCCTACATTTCCCATGCTAACATTCCCACGGTATGCTATTGTATAGAACCAAACTGTGTTTGTGACTATGTATATATATAGATACTTTTTATGAATAATGTATATTTTGAAATTTTTTTAAAAATCAGATCTCTGAGCCAGATATCCCAGTTCAAATCCCTACCTACTTCTGAGGTGCGTAATAACATCTCTCAACAGGGTGGTTTAGGAAGAATATCCCTGAGCAAGCACAGAGAGTGAAATTGAATTGAATGAAACTGGTAATTGTTCAAAATAAAAATGTCAGCTGCTTTCTCCAACAGAGCTGGTGGCTGGGGACCAGTTAGCTCAGTAGGCTGGATGGTTGGTTTGCAATCTGTGACTGATGTGAATAGAATGGGTTCAACTCCAGCTGAGGTTACCATGATGGACTTTCTTTCCCTCACCTGAAATGTGGTGACCCTCAGGTTAAACCGCCACCAGTCTAATCTCTTTTATCTGGTCACTGGCTCACTCTCTCCTCTCATCTTGTGGAGGGAAAAATTAACCCAGCTTTTTTTTCCTGTTCATTTGCTCAGTTTGCACATTGGGATCAAACTGACAACAACAATGGATCACATTTAGGTTAAGATTTGTGTCAGATCCCACAGACTGTGCACTATTAGGGTCACAATCCCATTGGACTTTTCCTGAACACCAACAACAACTTACATTTCTCTAGCACTTCTAATGTAATAAACCATTTTAAGGCATTTCACGATTGCAGTTCAACAAACTTTTGACACCAGCCCATATTAGGACGTATTAGGTCAGGTGATCAAAAGCTTGGCCGATGTGGTAGGTTCTAAGGAGTGTCCTTGGAGTGAAAAGAGAAGTAGAGAGGTGGATGACGCAAAGAGGGAATTCCAAAGGTTGGGATCTTAACAACTGAAGACACTGGTTGACCAATTAAAATTGTGAATGCTCAAGAAGCTAGATTAATTGAGCATAGAGATCTCAGGGGACAGTTGGGTGGAATCACAGAGAAAGGCAGGGATGAAACCATTGAAAAGATTTGAAATTAAGCATGACAATTTAAAAATTGAGGGCATTGCTTCACTGGGAGTCAATGTAGATCAACAAGCACATGGGAAACCAGCTCAGAATATATTAGAAAAGGCAAGGCTGGAGGTAACAAACATAGAGAAGAGGGTTTCAGAACAGAAAGTCTGAGGCAAAAATAAAATGAATCATTTTCAGGGAGGTGAGAATGGACTATCTTGGTGATGTTGTAGATATGTGATTAGAAACTCATTTCAGAGTGAAATTTAATCCCAAGATAGCAAACAGTCTGGTCCAGACTACTGCAAGGGTAAAGTCAGTTACATGAAGACAAAGATTGTAACAGCGATCCAAAAGCAATGTCATTTGGCCTTTCCAACATTTGGTTGGAAAATCTTTCTGCTCATTTGATATTGAAGCCTGATAAAGTTTCCATTTTCTGATGGGCACTCCTCTCTGCTGCCTATATTCCAAAGCGTGTAAAATCCCTTTGATCCACCGCTCCTGTGCTCTGTAACCTTGATTGGTTCCCATCCGATGCCAATGTTGGCATTTGTACAGTTCTCATTTCTGCTCCTGAATTCCTCCATGTCCTTGCCACTCCCTATCGATGTAAACTCTAACCCCATGACCTTTTTAGCTCTTTCATGGGATGTGGTCATTGGCTAGCAACACATTTTTTGCCCACCTTTAAGTGCCCTGGAGGAGATGGAGTTAAGCATCCTTCCATGTGCTGTACGTAGACCCACAGTGCAGTTAATGAGGGAGTCCTGGGATTTTGACCCAGCAAAAGTGGAGGAACGGCAATATATGTACAAGTCAGGCGATGAGTGGCTTGGAGAGAACTTGTAGGTATTATTCCTCTGTACCTGCTGCTCTTGTCCTTCTCGATGGTAGAGGACGTGGGTTTAGAAGGTAATGGTGAAAGAATGAAGGTGAGTTACTGCAGTACGTCTTGTAGATGGTACACACTGCTGTCACTGTGTGTCAGAGGTGGAGGAAGTGAATGTTTAAGGGTGTGGATGGAATGCCAAACAAATTTTGCCCTGGATAATGTCAAGTTTCTTGAGTGTTGTTGCGGCTGCACTCATCCAGGCACGTGGGGAGTATTCCATCACACCTTCCTGACTTATGCCTTGTAGCTGGTGGACAGTCTTTGGGAGGTTGAGTTTTTCATTACAAACTCCCTCTGTGCTCTTCCACAACCGGTATATACTACAGCCCTGATTTTAATCACTCCCACTTTGGTGGGCATGCTATCAGCAGCACCATCTCACTCTACACCCAGACACGGATCAGCTAAATCTCTAAACTACAACCTGCTGGGGAAGCCAATCGTACTGGCTGTTCATTAGCTTGTGCAGTTGCTGAGATCTAACCCCACACCCACCAAGGCAAATGAAGCTTGGCCACCCAGCACTGCCTATAAAGCAGACTGCCCTCAGAGAGATTTGGGAGGGTTGCTGAAGACTAGCCCCATTCACTAATGAAGACTGACTCACATATTTCAAAAGTGTTAAGGCCTTCAAAACCAGTAAAGTCACACCTTGACCCTCGGCTGATGTCAAGTGCTCTTTATGGAGCTTTCCTTTTCCACTTAACCTGAGCCAGGATGCAAAGGACGAAATGAAATACTCCACCTTCCAATAATCTCACCCTGCTAAATGGGCAGTGTCACGGCAGAATAATGCAATAGTGCCAATCTTTAGTGTACTGGTGCCCATCCCATTTTCTCAAGTGTGCAGCATTACTTGACAAATGAGTCTCTACTGCCTACCAGAGAGGCCTTTACCTCCCCCAGATGTTTCTTGCTTCATTCCAACCCTGCCACCATCCCCACAATCTCCCCTCATGATCCCCGAGGACGTCTACAGCCTGGCGAAGATCAAGCATTGGGGTAATGCAGACCAAATTTGAAGGTGGTCACAATACTGCCGGCTTTTACTGAGCACATGATTCCCCTTTTTTTCCCTAGGAGTAACGACAGAATGTATACCATTCACTTGAGGCAAGTTTGGTTTGCAACTTCTGAAGCTCAGCTGACCATCAAATGCAAGACGCAGAGCAAAGAAAAGAAAACAAACTTAAGATTTAATGAAATGCAAAGTTTCTCCAGCAATTTCTGTTCTGTTTCAAATTTAAGGTTTATTTGGATCCAGCTGTGATGGTAGCAATCTTATCACTGAGTCAGAAGGTCATGGATTCAACCCTGACTCAAGAAAATTGAGGTCAAAATTTGGACGGACACTAGAGTGCAATAGAGAGGGAGTGCTGCACTGTTAGACATGCAGTCTTTTGGATGAACCATTAAATTAAGGCCCCAAACTAGGACTTAAAAGTATCTATTCAAAGAAGAACTGTGCCTCTCTGTGACAGCAGCATTCATCTCAACCACATTTAAAATAAGAAACAAAGGCTTTACACATACATAGCACTTTTACAACCTCAGATATCTCAAAGCATCTTACAGCCAATGAATTTCCTTTTGACGCATCTTCACTGTTGCAATGTGGGAAAGAGGCAGTCAATAAACACTCAGAAAACTCTCCCAAACACCAATGTGATAATGTTCAGATAAACCCCTTCGGTGATGTTGATTTAGAGCTGATTATTAATGAGAGTGCCTGCAGTACTCTGAAATAGTGCAATGGGATCTTTTGCATCCACCGAAGCATGTAGATGGGGTCTCGATTGAATGTGTCATTTAAAAGACAGCACCTCAGACAGTGCAGCACACCCTCAGTACTGCACTGGAATGTCCGCTTCGAGCCTTGCTGAGAGGCACATGCATTGGCTCAAACTGGATACTATT